AGCTGGTTTTTTATTTTTTTTTTTTTTTTTTTTTTTTTTTTTTTTTTTTTTTTTTTTTTTTTTTTTTTTTACCAAAAATAAATAAAACATAAAATAATTAGAATTATTTATCGGTTTATTTTATTGTTACTTCTTTTTTATCATTAATTTCTAATTAATGTCTTGCCCCATGATTACTTTGACTTGATGATTTCCAACAGCCATTGTGTAGCAAACAGTAGTAAAACCAACCGACTGCTGAAGCTCAGTGTTGGTTGCTAGGTAACGAGGCTGGGCTTGGCTGGGTTGCTAGGTAACGGCTCTGTGCCCAGTACCACAGAGCCGTTTCTGAAACGGCTCATTTAGGAAGTTTTTGAAATGGCTTATTTTCCAGACACTAAAAACATAAGCTCATATTTATAAACAAAGTCATACCAACTGAATTATTTATGTATATTTTATGATTATTCATAATTATAGAATATAAATTGTAAACTGTGCTAAGACAAACTTGCTCCAAAAATCTGTTGCTTACAGAGGAATTCAGGAATGGAATAAATTACCTAAAAACAACATAAAAAGATCACCAAGATCCCATTTTTATTAAATCTTATTTTTAAAAAGAATCTAGGTTCACGTGTGCAATTTGTAAAATGTGACGTTTGGCTAATCTTCTGCATCTTACATGTTAATGTTGAAATTGACTTATGTGTTGTATGGATATTTGTGTGTGAAAATGTTGTGTGCATCTGCTGCGCTTATTACATGAGCCGCTTGTCAGGGAAACGCTGGTAAAAAGTTGTTAAAGTGTCAATAGAAGAGCCATTTTGTTATGACTTCCTGAAGGCGGAGTTTCAGGTTTTAAAGAGAGAGAGGCCCAATTGCAAGTCGGTAAATGAGGAAAGAAATTTATTTTATGTCATATTTGATATATATATATATATAACATTTTTATAAAGCAGAAGGTGACGTTGTTACTTGGTTATGCTACAAAATGCTGTTATGTGTCTGGAAAACACACAGTTTTGCCCTTTTAAGCACTTTTACTGTCTTTAGAAGCAGCTGAGACCCAAATAGAAGCATGAAACATGCAAAATGTGAATTTTGCATAACAGGTCCCCATTAAAGGCCCATCATGTGCTAATAAATGCTCATTCGGGTTGGGTGGTACTCACGCAGAAGTGATGGCCCGGTATCGTTCCAGGCCGGCCGTATCCCAGATCTGGGCCTTGATGTAGAAGCCGTTGAGCTGCACCGTCCGTGTGCTGAACTCCACCCCGATGGTTGTGCGGCTGTCATGGTTGAACTCGTTTTTCGTGAAGCGGGACAGCAGATTGCTCTTCCCAACACCAGATTCCCCAATTAGAACCACTAGAAAAGAGCCAAACAGAGTTTTATTTTTTAATTCAAAGCCAAACCATCACATCCACTAACAGCTCTGAACTAAAGCTACTGGATGGGTGTTGCCCTCCAAATGTAATTACGCCATAAATCTGGAGTCTTAGCTGTCTGACACTTTCATAAGAACACCATTAAGAAACAGTAATTGTTTAAACCTCAGCCCACAGAGAAATATTGCAAAACTGAGCCAAAGCAACATGATTACTAATTAGGTTTTTGTAGAGGCTATAATTTCAAACAAGCCACCAATTGCACAACAGGTATGGAAAAGATTTGTCCCTGAGGCTTTCAGGATGCAGTTTCTACTTCCCTCCAGGAAGGCTGAGGAAAAATCAGGCAAAGATGTGGATGTCAAACAAAATGAGGCTTTGTTTCCGGACTCGTCAAACAGTCAGCATGGGGGTAAGGCAGGTCAGAATCAGGTGGAACAAGTTCAGCAGCTACTTCCTTTACTCTGGGCCGGTGGAACCTATCTGCAGGGTAAACAGGCTCACCCCCTCTGCACATTTCACTGACTAATGTTTGGCTTTCGGTCATAAGACGCTGATTCAGAAAACAGAAAACAATCCAAAAGGCTTGGCTTAATTGGTCCAGACCAGAGACAGAAGCAACACATGCATGTGTTAAAGTTAGAGCTTAATGCTGGGATGGGTTATGATGACAAACCCAGCAGCTACTCCTAGAATTAAATGTTACTTGTTGAACAAGTAACATTGTAACATTGTGTATTAAACGCCTGAGAAAGAGGAAATGTGAAACTGACAGATGGCTTTAAATTAAATGGATTTCTACCTTAGGTTAGTTAAGTGAAAACATATTGTCTTTTGAACCAACGAACACTGAATTTGCCCTAACGAGAATTATTTTTAATGCACATTTCACCAGAATTTGGGTAAAGTATTAGAGTGTGAGTTTTGATGTCTTCGATGTTTTTATCTTTAGTTTTTATCTATTTATTAATTTCTTTTTATTTCTCTTTCTCACTGTTTACGTTTTAATGATATAAAGCCCCCCGGAAAACGTCCCAGTTAAAAGATGTTTAACTAAAGTCCTACAGGGTTTAGAGTCCCAGTTGACGGTGTTTTAACTAAAAACCTAGAGGTTGGAGTCCTTGTCAAACGGTGTTTTTGACTAAAGTCCCAGAGGGTTAGAGCCCCAGTTAAACGACGTTTAACTGAAGTCCTAAAAGGGGTGCGGGTTTTAATGTTTTATCTTTTTTAATCTTTTTCAAAATCTCTTTCTCTTTCTCACTGTGTATTCACTGTCACATGCTGTTTTTATTTTAATTATGTAAAGCACTTTGAAATGCCTTGCTGCTGAAATGTGCTATACAAATAAAATTTGATTGATTGATTGATTAAAGTAATGATGAGAAAATCATGAAGGGGTGTTATAGTCAATAGTCAAATTAGAAGGACAATATTTAACCTGAAGCCTATTTCTGGTCTCATCTACTCGGGATTTGCATTTTAAAAATAGAACAGTGTAAAAGGGTGGTGGTGTCCATGTGTCCACTGCCTTCTCTGTGAGTTATTTTATTTTTTTCTTTGCTTATTTTAGATTGTTTTATAAGGTATATGCTTCTGCCATTTTATTTATGTCATATAATGGCAATAAAATTACTCTATTCTATTTAAATTTGAGTGTTGTGTTGGATCTTGGAGATAAATTGTCACATGTTAGCAAGCAGATGCTAAATGCTACACCTGTAGCTAACTGCTAAAGGTATCCATTAAATTCCCCCCATATGGTATTTTTTGAACAAATACCAAATAAAATCTGGAAAACAAGACAAAAGACAATTTAAATAAATAAAAACTTGGTGCTAAAAACCTTGGCTGTTAGCCTGTTTCATGTTGTTATAGCAACAATAAAGCAATGATGTTTCTGAAAAACGTGATGCTGGAGGACAAACAACCGCGTAATGTAAGAAAACAGAAATAAGAGCAGAGCAATTGTTGAAAGAAAATATGTTGCTTTGTAAACTGGAGCTAAAATTTATTGATGGGCTAAATTAACACCAGATGTCAGTAAGCTAATGTAGTCCAAACATGCTAACTGCTGGGAGTTTACAGCCAAACAAATGGGAGGAAGAGTTGCCTGCGTCGTTAGATTTTATAGGTATAGCTGCCATTAAATGTAAATTATTAGGGTAATTCAGCACAGAAGTTTAGCTTAGATTTATAGAACTGGATCTGGACTTTTACTGGTTTCTTAGTTCACATTATCTTTCTTTACAGGTTTTTATTTATTATATTGTGTGTTTTTGCATGCATTTGCCAAGGATCTGTAGCTGCTCTAGTTCCACTTAACTCTGATAGAAAATCATGTGAATTATTGTCAGTCTTTGTAATAGAAAGTTTGATAATAAAGCAGCTTTCAGAATATCCAGCAGAAATTTGAGGCAGTAAAATGTAAAATATGACCTAAATTCAAGAACCTCTAAAATTAATGGAAAAGAAAATATCAGTTTTTTCAATCAGTTGTTTGTCCAATAAGGTCTGAGTTTTATTTAAAGAATATTTTACAAGCTTCTCTTCACAAGCTGATTTAACTGATTATAAGTTATTGTGCAATCTTCTGCTTTAAGTGAGTTTTTCCTCATTTTCTCTGCTACTGAGTAACTCCTTAGGCAAACAATCCAGCTAGTTTCTATGGAAATGCAGGACAGGTGACCTTGGAGCAGTTTGTCGGTCGGGTTTGTTGATCCTGCAGAAACCTGGAAGAACCTGAAATGTTGCAGTGAGGCTCACATTTTTCCCGTCTTTGTTTTCATGACTTTCAGAGCAGGACTTCAGCTGACAGCTGCTGCTGCTGCAGGAGGCCTCTCTACTGCTAAAAACAAGAATTATTCTGTAATTGTTGTCATCAGTACTGCATATCACTACTTGTTTACTTGTTGGAATCACAGAGTAAATAAAGCTTATACTATTTGAAGAACTTTGACTTTTGAGCCGTTTACATTCCATACAAACTTGAAATGATCTGATTTAAGTGATTAGCTTTCATGCTATCCAGCAAATCAGTCGGGTTTCTAAAGTCTGAACTTACTTACAACCAAAAAAACTAAAGAATGTTGTTTTTTATGACACCATCCTCTTGAACTGTGGCAACTGTGGGTTGGTTTTAGATGTAGACTGAAATTTTTAAGCGATTTTTTTTTTCTTTCTTGTTTTAAAGGGTCAAAAATGGAACTGAAACTTTTGGAGTAATTTAAATTGAATGCAGATGGTTTAATTTCAAAGTAGACTGTAAAGATTAGGTTTGCCAAAAAAATAACACATGCGTTGGTAAACTAACAGGATGCAGATGAAGGTTTTCTATTAAAACACGACCATGTTACTGAGCGTCCATGTTGTTGTGCAACACCAAGTCAGATTACACTCCATTAAAAGTTATCCAGAAAAATTTCAAAAATATCTATAAATTTTTGTCTTTTATTCATATCCCGAATAAATGTGAAGTTGTGTTTTTGTCTTAACATATGCAGTGAGGTTTTCAGATAATTATTTCTACTTATTTCTGGGCTTTAACTGGACCGTTGATGACTCGTTTCTTTTCTTTTTCAGTCGACAGTTAATAAAAAGCGTTTCTGCATTTGTTTTTCTCCAAACATGGTGCCTCTCCACACGGTTCTCATTAGATGTAACTTTGTAACATTAAGTCATGATTCTTCCAAGCTAAGCACACTTCCGCTGTCTGTTTCAAACCGACTTGTAATGAAAGTTCACATATAAAATATAAACTGAAGCCTGTAGAGACTGAAATTAAGCTTGTGTGATTTTTGTAAGTTTACCTGAGTGTTAACCTGTGTGTAATTTTTCCTGATGTCCAGTCCTAATTGGAATGACAGCTGCTGTACATGTTTTGCACATGAGAATAATCTTTCCTGCTGCAGAACGACAGAGATGGGCTGGAAATTGTCCAATAAATTATCTAGTTTACTGACAAGCAACATTTTCTTCCACCTGAGCGTTGAGTTAATGATCAGTTAATTATTACATTTACACCTGAATGTTGCTCAAACCTCTGGTTTTTTCTAGAATTAGAATTAATTTTGTTAAAACAAGCGATTCAGTTGTTAAAAACTCCAACTTATCTTTCATTTATCAGTCAGGCATCATTGAGCTCCAGGACCTTGAATTACATGTCCTACCTGTTCAGAGTGATACGTTTCTGCAGAAAATACAAGATAGGCAAGCTCTGTTTGCATCTGAAGGGATATCCTGTACTACCTGTATTATTTTTGCATTACTAATATGAGTGCAACATAACTTGAACTAGGACATTTTCAGGAACAGTAATGAGCAGATGACGTCACTGCAGTGTAGTGATGCAACTCCTCCACCTGAAGTCAAATTTGACAAAAACAAGATATGCAGAAATGATTTTTTCTTCTTCTAATCAGTGATTGGCTGTTTATTCCTCCAGTCATTAGGTGTTCTGTTAACAGCACACAGTCCAAGAGAGAAACACAATGAGAATGCAGCAGGGATGAGAAGTAAAGGACAGGAACTCACCTTTAAATACAAAGTTGTAAGCTTCATCTGAGCCCATGTTGTGTCCATCCAGGTTGTCCCTGGTTACCTGGTTACAGCCTCAGGTTAAAGGATGTAAGGTGAACCAGCCTGCTTCTCAGGTCCTGCTGCGTTAAAAAGGCAGAGAACGGGTCGGCCACATGCAGCTTCCTGCTCTGCCTCAGGTAACACAGCCTGGTTTGTTTGAACAGGATACGCTCGGCACTTCCAGGTTGTTCCAGGCTGGAAGTGGGCGGCTCTGAGGCTGGGGCTGCAGCGCGACAGAGGCGGAACATGAGGGGAAGGTAGGAACACCTGAGGGGCGGCGAGGCGCCTCCTGCTGGAGGAAGCAGCAGGAGGCGCCTCTGACTCAGAGGCGCCTCACCTGCGTCAAAAGGCCAAGAAAGTAATAGCAATAAAAAACTAAAATAAAGAAAATAATGGTGGGTACAGAATGCACCATACTGAAAAACATATAAAGGAATTTTCATGTGTACCTTAGTAAAGGAAAGACATAGATTTCCTTTTTTTAGGCTCAATTGAACAAATTTATTCTCATGACTGAGTTAGGGCAATTATAAATAGAAAATAAAACAGAGAAGGAAATTCCTGCCAAAAACTCAGAAATTATGAGATTAATCTCAGAAATTTGAGAAAAAAATTAAGTTTCAAAAGTCGAAAATTTACTCAAAAAATTAACACATTTTGACATTAATCAGGTATTTCATAGAAAAATCAAGGACGTTTCTCATCTTGAAGTCAAAAATTTGCAGAAATCAAATTTTTATATTAAATTTGATTTTTATTCTTGCATTTACACTAATACAAGAATAAAATCGTAATAATGCAAAAACAAAGTTGTGATAATATGAGAATAAAGTGATATTACCAGAAAAAAACTAATTAATAGGAGAATAAAGTCATAGCAATGCGAGAATAAAGTTGTAATAATGATAAAAGGATGGGATATTAGATAAAGACAAGGGAAATAGTTGAATTAAAATTAGATGGAATATTAAATGATTTCAAATGAAAATAAGAAATAAATGAGAAAAAAAATACAAATACACAAAAATGTCTAAAAATAAACAGAAGGGACGAGTAAATTAAAAATTAAAAGGAATAATAAAAACGCCTCTAAAACCACTTGCAGCGGCCTATTTTAATAGTTCAGACACTAAATATACCTTAATATTTATTATGATGTGTCGACTTGGTATTTCAGCTTTCAAATCTGTCTTCATTTTCTTTACAATATTTGACTTATTCTAAAAATAAATAAAATCTACAAATAAGTAAATTTACCACAGCCAGTAGTTTCTCAGGCTTAATAAACCTTTTAAAATTAATGATTTAGCTCTACAACAAAACGGCTCACCTCAGATTTGTACAGCTGCTCGTCGTCGACTTAAAAATAAAAACAAGGTTTTCTGGCTTAGAATCTTCTTTATTCAACAATTCTGAACTAGAACAGGTAAATATTCTTAGCTACATTTTTCAGACAAAGACAAAAACCCCCACAAATCTTCACCACAATGTATTTGCAAGTGAGTAGAAAAGGCTGCAGTTCTGCTTTAAACAGCAAAGCTGACAGAGAAAACTGGATCTTTGTAGCAGGTCAACAAATGACTTCTTCCTGAAATCTAATCTGGTAAATAATAATAAAAAAACACCAAGGAGGCAAAGAGCAGCGCTCAGCCGCCATGTTGGGCTGTGTGTTCAGTTGGTGAGCGACCCGGATCAGGTGACCTTCTGTCAGACTCCAGGAAGGAAAGGAAAGGTGAGCCACAGCAGAACTATGATGCTGCCACTTGGGTTAATGGTTCCTCCAGATACTGCACCAACGCCTCTGCCTGTAAACACACACACACACACACACACACACACACACACACACACACACACACACACACACACTGCAGTGAACAGGATCAGACTCCAGCTGGGCTGCAAACCTGCAGACTGTCAGTCTGGAGAACCTGAGTAATCTCTGTCTCTGCAAGAAGCTGCTCATAAAATTAATTTAACAGAATAACAACTCATAACGTTTACTAACCCGTATAAAAATGTAACATTGATCACTTCCTACTTCCTGTATTAGGGCCAGGCTAAGAATAAAGTGGAAATTATACAAGAATAAAGTTATAAAATCACTAAAGTGACAATATGAAAATAAAATTGAAAATTATGAGAACAAAGTTGTAATATTACTAGAATAATGTTGCAGTAATATGAGCATAAAGTGATAATTTTCCGAGAATTCACCCCAATATAAAACCAATGAATAAAACATCCAGGTGATCAAGATAAATGTCAACTTGAGAAAACTTAGCACATTGTAGTTCATTTTAAAGGAAACATAGGATTACTTAGAATCTTATAGTCACTTTAACTCTTTCCACTGCTGAACCTGAAACAAAAATCTGCTTCAGGATGAACTTTTGCTTTACAGGGATGAATATGTGAAGTCTTACCTTGGCTTTAAGCATCCCGAAGCCAACCGTCTCCTTAGCGTACATACACAGCAGCAGGTTGGCAACACGTGTGATGGCCACCCTTCCTTCCTGAGGCACACAGAAAAAAACTGCTTAAATCTACTCATGCGCACCTTTTCCCTTCACATCCCAGTCGTGTTTCTCACCATGCAGTCCATGAGGATGAATTTCAGGTTGTCTTCATTGAAGGCTTGGTGGCCATTCTTGTCGTAGGCGGCCCAGATGTTGCTGGCGATGGCCGCCGTGACGCGGGCGTCGGTGTCTCCATAACCGGAGTAAGCCAGAAGAGAACCCTCGTTGTTGAGTAAACTGTGGGAAAGCAGAGAAATTAAAGTTTTTATTGCATTCTATGAGGTAAACATTAACTGTGATATTTTCTTTTGACATATAATAGTGTGCAACATATTCCACTCAGTGTTTTGTGATATAAATAGGACTGTGCTAGCAACTATTCTAGTAATTACTCTGATCATTATCTGGATAAAAACTGGCACATTCTGTAGATTTTTCATTTAATACAATATTAGATACATTTCAAAAATGCAAATAATTAATTACATTAATTCTTCTAAATAATATTTATTGCCTAAAATGCAGTAACAACATTCCTTTAGTGAACCCTTGATGATGATTGGCAACAAAGAATGCATCTACATAACACAACATACATTTAATAGGTATAAAATGACTATATTAATAATAAATATGTATTAAATTATAGGACTTCGACTTATTCAAAATCTAACAGTCAAATTGTAGCTATGAACATCATTTTAAAGACACGATGCTGCAGATTTATAATGTTATCATGATTTCGAAAGTCATTCCTCAAAGAGAACAAATCTAACTCCATAGAAAGGCCATAAAATCTAGTTCAACAATAAGAAACAAACAGACCATGTGAGTGAAAAACAACCACAGGCAGTGCTGTAAACCCATGTAAAGCTGGTTAGCTTGATGCTAGCTCCGTACTCACAGAGTGCTCTGGACTCCGTTGGTGTTCGCCTGGCTCAGCACCTGCGTCAAAGCTTTCGGCCGCAACATTTCAGCCTCCTAAACTAACAAATAAAACCTGTTTTATTCGATATACTCGATATATTCTAAACAAAAAACCCTTAAAGAGTCGCAAACAGCGTACAAGACACAGTCAAGTCAGCTGATTCGACTGTCATCTGGCACTTCCTGTTTCTCTCCTAATGCACCCTGGGTAACTGAGTCTTTTTGAAATTAAAGCCGGAAACGGTAAATGAGCGGCCTCCTGTACTGGAGACAGTAAAGCGCTCTCCTTTACCGTTTCCAGTGATTTTAAAGGTTTATTGTGCAGACTTTTTTTTTTCCCACTAAATTGTTTTGATCTAAAATAAACTCTAATAAAGACATAAAAGTTATCTTAATATTATTTTTATGATTATTATTTCGTATGG